AAAAATAGATAAATATGAGAGATAAAGTAGATTTGGATCTTATTTTAGAACCAAAATAAAAGTTAAATAAATTCTTGTATTAAAAACAGAAAGTAGTACTACCTCCGGTTTTAGTTATAAGAGCCAGTTGACTAATTTGAGGAGATTGAGAAAGTAAGTTGAGTTAGTTATTTGTCTTAAATAAGCGTTGTCTTTCCTAAAATATCCTTGCTAATCAAGTGTATTAACTAAAATTATCATTGTCAGAAGGGCAAATTGAAAAAAAAAGTATAAATATAAGAGATAAAGTGGATTGAGATTTTATATTTATAATTAAAATAAAAGTCAAACATTTTATATTAAGAATAGGAGGTAGTATAACATTAGATACTCTTCCACCTTAGGCCATCAGTATGTGGGGCTTAATATTGGCTTCTCGCCGAATGCTATTCATAAGCCGTCCAATTTTCTCATCTTCCTTTCATGGGCCGCGTGCCAGCCATTTATTGAAGCTAAAAAATAGCTCCTCAACAAGTACTGCCTGCGCACCAACACAAAATATTTACTCCTCTAAGCAGATAATTCAAATCCTTCATTCCCTTCTCATCACGCATTTCGAATTTCAAAATCCCTCATTTACTCCTCTTCCTCTCTCTCTTCATTTATGTTTATGTCATCCATTTCAAATTTCAGAACCCTATTCTCTTCACTTTCACTTTTTTATTTATGTCTCTTCAATAGCATCAATTCTCTCATCCAAAATTCAGAAAACTAGCTTATATGCTCATCTTCACATTAGATCCTATGTTTATGCAGAATGGAATTTCAGGTATCCACAATCTCTATCTCTCCTTTATTTTCTTACTGAGATTCTTTTTTCCTTCTTATTCCTTATCTCTCGTGTGAAGTTGTTGTTTGTTTCTATTTTTCCTCCCAAACTTTCTCTTTTTATTTATATCTTTTCTTTTCATCGGTTTTTTTTTTCTCTCATTCAAAATTTAGAAAGAATCCAATGCAATTATTTATATATAGAAAGAATTAATATGAGATTTTAATAAAAAAATAGTTATTAAAAAGTCTCAATACTAAGTGACTAGTTGTTATTTCCTATATTAAAACTTATCATTGCATGTTGTCATATATGTATATATGTCCATTAGCATTTGTCTATAAAACTACAACGCCAAACGTTAGGGATGGCCGGTTTGGCTAACCTAATTGCACAATATCACTATACTTCATCAATAATGAGGTTTTTGTCGAGGAATTAAAAAGGTGATATTGACATGGAGTATTATTAAAGGGGAGATTATGGATGAGAATTGAAAAGGTGAGTGCATTGTTAAGGGAGAGAGATTAGAGATAAGCAACAAGTGTAATAATTGGGCCATGCATGCAAGGAGAATGAGCAAAATGCAGGTTTTGTTATCTTTCCATGTTCATTAATATGAATATATAAAAATTACAATGCCAAGGTTGGTTAATTGGTTGAATAACAATAAGCCTTCGACTAATATGATTTCACGATATCACTCTACTCTATTAATAATAAGATTTTTGGATAAATTATCAATCAATAGATTCCACTTAATAACTTCGTTGATGCTTCTCTCTTCAGTCATTTTCTATTTCTCTTCATCAGTGAAGTCTTAATTTCTACTTCATAAATGAGGAATTTTTATCAATAGACTACAAACAGTAAAAGAAATTTTTCAAATGCTACATAGTGGGAATTATTTCTCCAAATACTAACCTCAACGTTGTTCTTGGTTTGAACAACTTTTAAAATTAATCTAAGTAAGTACAATTTTTTCAATAAATATTGTTTGACGTGTAATTGAACTTCATCTTGGTGTGAATAATTTTTAAATTTCATTAGCCTTTGAACAACTTCTTTACAATCTCTCACCACACAAATGCCCTTACAAGGATTTTAATAATGATCATATCATTAGAATAATGAATTAATCATTATATAATGATAATAGTAATAATTAATATTACATTAATTAAAAAGTGGTTAATGAAAATAAGTAATGATTAATGATAATGATTATTTTTATAATTAAATAGGTATAGATTTTGAAATATATTTAGTGAAATCTGTGGATAATTTATACCTATTTAATCATCTTTTATTAATGTATCTTCTTTTAAATTAATTGTAAGATAAAAGATGATTTTGCATAAAATCTACTCAAATCTTTTATTATCTTTAATACAGGAGATATAAAATTATTGAGAGAAGAAAATATCACAAATAAAAGATGAGACAAAAAGGAGCAAGATATGCAGCAAATAATATATATATATATATATATATATTTATTCACATCACATATGAGAATCAAAGGCGTGAAGAGGGGAGAAAAGAAGAAGCCGTGGGTCCCGGTCAAGAATCAAGGAACAAGTCAAATATGATATATTGTATTATATTGATTTAAGGAAACAAGGAACCGTGATATTAAGCACAACATCATGATATAAGATAATATATTACTCCTCCGGTCCTTATTATAAGACCCAATTTGACTTTTTATTTGGTCCTAATTATAAGACCCAATCCATTTTGTCTCTTATATTTATGCATTTTTTTTCCAAGATAATCCTTCTAATAATAATAGTTTTAGCCAATATACTTAATTAGCAAGGATATTTTAGGAATGACAACACTTATTTATTATAAATAACTAACTTAACTTACTTCCTTAATCTCCTCAAATAAGTCAATTGGGTCTTATAATTAGGACCGGAGGAGTATATTCTATTGGAGATATGGATAGATATGGATAGGAGGCGGTGGATTCAATTCAAGGGAGAGAAGAGAGGCAACGATTATAAATAGGGACCGGGGATAGCAGCGAAGAGGCACCAAAAAAAATTCTTTGTGCTGTTTCTGGCAACAGGAGCTAAAGGGCGGCGGAAAGGAGGCAGCGAGAAGAGAGAGTAGTGTGGAATCAACCTGTAAGTCTCAGTTCCACTGTGACGGCAGCGAGGAATTAATTGGGATGAACAGGAGTGAACGTAGCGAGCAAACAGTGGGGTACCAGCGAAGCATTCGTCTCTGATTCTTCATTCTTTTCCGGCAACAGCAGTGAAAGGAGGAAGGATTGTACACCGTTTTGCTTTCTACTCTTTCATCTTTTATCTTCTGTTATTTCATTCTGAATATTTATCTTTCACGATTTTATTTTGGCCATGTGTGGCTAGTTCTTTTCTTTAATCTAGAGTAGCTATGAACTTACTTATGGATTAGACTTTGTTTTCATTTAATTAATTATGCTTGATGTTAATTTTGGGTACTTAATCTTGGTTTAATATATATATATTTAATGTTTGGCCATCATTAAATATGAGTTTGAGCATTAAGGTTAGCCTTGACGAAGGAAATCTTAAGTAGGCTCTAGGATTGAGTAATATGGGTTTAGGTTTTTATCTTATTTGCGAGTAGGATAGAAATATACCTAGGAGCCCCATATAATTGATGAAGAGTGAAATTATTTTATCCTCTTAAGTATTTGAGTTAGACATAACCTTATTACTTAGGAGAGGGTTATAAGTGGATCGAAAGACACTTTTAGCTATAAATACTCTAGATTAACTAAATTAACATTGAGACTAATTAGTTAAATAAAAAGCAAAAGTCTATGAAACTAGTAAGGGATTAGTAACTCTAGGTTGCCTTTAATATTGAATTTTTTCTATCTTTAGTCTTTTTATCCGATCGTTCATAATTCAGCTTGCTTAACTTAATTGAAAACAGGAACTTTAGTGCCTAAACACTATTTTGTCTAATTCTCTGTGGGAACGATACTCTATACTTACTTTTTATTACTTGATCGACACGTGCACTTGCGTTATTCACAAATTGTGTGCATCAAGTTTTTGGCGCCGTTGCCGGGGATTAAGGCAATTAGTTTTTAGAATTAGAGGACCTTTAGTAATTTAAGTTTAAGCATTTAGTTTTTTTTCCCCCTCCTAATTTATTTTTTGCTTATTTTGATAGTTAGGACAATTTTCTTTATTTTAATTTTAATTTTTTTTTCCCTTTGTCCACTTTGATTCTTGATCTTTTCCCTCTTTGTCTTTGCAGTAATTCATAGTATATGCCACGTAGATCAAGAAATACACCTGTGAAGACGAGGAGCGTGAACGAGCTTCTAGAGACAACAACACCTGAGCATCCAGTTGGCAAAACTCTAGAAAAAGAGATGGCAGAAGATGAGAATGATAGGTTGGGTGTCAATGATTTCTTGGGAAAACAACCTCGAGGGTACCAATCTGGAATCAAAGTACCACAATTCCAAGCCACTAATTTTGAGATTAAGCAAACAATGCTCAAAATGTTGGAACTTATTGGGCAATTTGGGGGATACAATAATCAGGATCCCAATCGGCATCTAGTCGAATTTCTTGATGTGTGTGATTCTTTTAAGCAGAATGGAGTTCCTAGTGATGTCATTCGTCTTCGGCTCTTTCCTTACTCTTTACAAGGGAAGGCTAAAGAATGGCTCAACAACCTGGAAGAAGGCAGTATTTCATCATGGGATGACTTGGAAGAGAAGTTTCGATCTAGATTCTTCCCTCATAACAAGATAGTGGATGCTAGAGCCAAATTGATGAATTTTAGCCAACAATTTGATGAGCACCTATATGAAGCTTGGGAAAGATTTAAGTTGCTGGTCAGACAAAGCCCAGGACATAATCAAGAGAAGTGGGTCTTACTTCAAATTTTTAGTAGTCGGTTGACACCTGAATCCAAATCTGAATTAAATGCTGTTACAAATGGAGGAATTACCAAGCAACCAGTGAACCATGTTTGGAGTTGCTTGGATGACTTGGCTGCTGATTATATTCAGAATAGTAATGAACGGAAACAGGTGAAATCTGTAGAAAATGCTGCCAATAACTCTTCTTCACAAGTGATTGCTATGCTCAATACTCTCAACAAAAGATTTGATCACTTAGAAGCACGAGTTGACAAATCCAATAGAGGACAAGTAAATGTTGTTTTCTCTTGATCATCTGGGTGTATGGCAATTTGATTGTATCCTGAATAACCATCCAGGAAGCAAAAGAATTCCTTGCCAGCTAACCGGTCTAACATTTGGTCAATGAAAGGAAGTGGAAAATGATCCTTCCTTGTGGCTTCATTGAGTTTTCTATAGTCCATACAATTTCGCCAACCAGTAACTGTTTGGGTGGGGATGAGCTCGTTTTGGTCATTAGTGATTACTGTCATGCCACCTTTCTTAGGAACACATTGCACCGGGCTAACCCACGAGCTATCAGAAATGGGATAAATAATTCCAGCATCCAACCACTTAATAACCTCCTTTTTTACCACTTCTTTCATCATAGGGTTTAGCCTCCTTTGATGCTGGATGGATTTCTTATGATTATCTTCGAGTAGAATCTTATGCATCACTATGGCAGGGCTGATTCCCTTAATATCCGCTATTGTCCATCCTATAGCCTTCTTATTATTCTTTAACACCTGTAGTAACCGCTCCTCTTGCTCTACTGAGAGTGATGATGAAATTACTACTGGTAATGTTTCAGAATTTCCCAAATATGCATACTTTAGATGGGACGGAAGTGGCTTCAACTCTAACATTGGGGGTTGCTCTAAAGAAGGTTTAAGAATTGGAGTCGTTTGTGATTCTAGCCCTAAGGATTCAAATTGCCAATATTTCTTAGTGAATGTTGTAGAGGTGCTCAAAACATGCCCAATTTGTCCTTGGCTAATATCCTCCCCAATATCAATTTCAGCTAACAATGTTTGGAGCGGGTCATTATTAGCAAACGAATCCAACTCCTCTTGAATCAACTCATCTATCACCGAAATACTTGCATATTGCTCCACTATATTTGGATGCTTCATTATTTTCTCCATATTGAAGGTGATTTGCTCGTCACCAAAGCGTAGACTTATTGTCCCTTTCTCTACATCCACTAATGCTTTTGCGGTAGCCATAAATGGTCTTCCAACAATTAGTGGAATCTCTTTATCCTCTTCAATGTCGATGATGATAAAATCAGCAGGATATATGAATGATTCAACTTTCACCAGTACATCCTCAATGACGCCGTATGGATATGAGAGGCTTCTGTCTGCTAACTGAAGTGTCACAGTTGTAGGACTAGCTTCTCCTAAATGGAGCTTCTTAAAAACAGAGAGAGGCATAAGGTTCACAGCAGACCCCAAGTCACAGAGTGCACGACCTTTAAATTGTTCTCCAATTAGGCATGGGATAGAAAAAGAACCAGGATCCTTACACTTCAGAGGGATGTGGGGCTTAATTATGCTGGTTGTCTCCTTAGTTAGTGCCACAGTTGCATACTCAGTAAGTCGTCTCTTCTTGCTTAACATGTCCTTGAGAAACTTGGCATATTTGGGCATGTGCTCTAATGCCTCAGAAAAAGGAATATTGATATGAAGTTGCTTGAAGATTTCCAGAAACTTCGAATATTGTTGATCTTCAACCTGCTTCTGAAACACTTGCGGGAAAGGAAGTGGTGGCACCACTTTAGGACGCTCAACTGTCTTTTCCTTACTAGTCGCACCATTATTTTCCTTCTCATCAACAGTTGGTTTATTTTTGCTAGGCTCAGAACGTACCTCAGTTGTTTGTTTCGACTTTGATGCCTTAGGAGATATATCAGGTAATTGCTTACCACTCCTCAAGGTGATCGCGTTGCACTCCTCTTTACCATCTTTACGAGGATTAGGTACAGTATTGCTTGGTAACCCTCCTTGTTGAAGCGCATTCACAGCAGTTGCGATTTGCCCCATTTGCACCTCAAGATTCCTAAGTGATGAGTCTACTCTTGTATTAATGTTGGCTTGCTCTTGATTACTTTTAATCTGAGAAGACATGAGCTTAGCCATCATTTCCTCTAAATCAACCTTGGGCACTTGGTTAGGGATATGTTGCCTTCCTAATTGAGAAAATCCAGGAGGTGAGACTTGCCTTACCCAGAAGTTGACACTTGATCCAGTGTTGAACCGTGTTTCCAAGACAAGTTAGGGTGATTCCTTAATCCTGGGTTGTAAGTGTTGGCATAAGGGTTGTTCTGATTATTACCCCAAAAATTTCCAGCATAGTTCACTGGCTCTACTTGTTGACACGTAGGGCATTGTTCAGAAGCATGTCCATCTCCGCAGTAATCGCACGGGGTATATATGGCATTAACCCCTAGTTGTCCTCTATTGGATTTGTCAACTCGTGCTTCTAAGTGATCAAATCTTTTGTTGAGAGTATTGAGCATAGCAATCACTTGTGAAGAAGAGTCATTGGCAGCATTTTCTACAGATTTCACCTGTTTCCGTTCATTACTATTCTGAATATAATCAGCAGCCAAGTCATCCAAGCAACTCCAAACATGGTTCACCGGTTGCTTGGTAATTCCTCCATTTGTAACAGCATTTAATTCAGATTTGGATTCAGGTGTCAACCGACTACTAAAAATTTGAAGTAAGACCCACTTCTCTTGATTATGTCCTGGGCTTTGTCTGACCAGCAACTTAAATCTTTCCCAAGCTTCATATAGGTGCTCATCAAATTGTTGGCTAAAATTCATCAATTTGGCTCTAGCATCCACTATCTTGTTATGAGGGAAGAATCTAGATCGAAACTTCTCTTCCAAGTCATCCCATGATGAAATACTGCCTTCTTCCAGGTTGTTGAGCCATTCTTTAGCCTTCCCTTGTAAAGAGTAAGGAAAGAGCCGAAGACGAATGACATCACTAGGAACTCCATTCTGCTTAAAAGAATCACACACATCAAGAAATTCGACTAGATGCCGATTGGGATCCTGATTACTGTATCCCCCAAATTGCCCAATAAGTTCCAACATTTTGAGCATTGTTTGCTTAATCTCAAAATTAGTGGCTTGGAATTGTGGTACTTTGATTCCAGATTGGTACCCTCGAGGTTGTTTTCCCAAGAAATCATTGACACCCAACCTATCATTCTCATCTTCTGCCATCTCTTTTTCTAGAGTTTTGCCAACTGGATGCTCAGGTGTTGTTGTCTCTAGAAGCTCATTCACGCTCCTCGTCTTCACAGGTGTATTTCTTGATCTACGTGGCATATACTATGAATTACTGCAAAGACAAAGAGGGAAAAGATCAAGAATCGAAGTGGACAAAGGGAAAAAAAAATTAAATTAAAATAAAGAAAATTGTCCTAACTATCAAAATAAGCAAAAAATAAATTAGGAGGAGGAAAAAAAAACTAAATGCTTAAACTTAAATTACTAAAGGTCCTCTAATTCTAAAAACTAATTGCCTTAATCCCCGGCAACGGCGCCAAAAACTTGATGCACACAATTTGTGAATAACGCAAGTGCACGTGTCGATCAAGTAATAAAGAGTAAGTATAGAGTATCGTTCCCACAGAGAATTAGACAAAATAGTGTTTAGGCACTAAAGTTCCTGTTTTCAATTAAGTTAAGCAAGCTGAATTATGAACGATCGGATAAAAAGAATAAAGACAGAAAAAATTCAATATTAAAGGCAACCTAGAGTTACTAATCCCTTACTAGTTTCATAGACTTTTGCTTTTTATTTAACTAATTAGTCTCAATGTTAATTTAGTTAATCTAGAGTATTTATAGCTAAAAGTGTCTTTCGATCCACTTATAACCCTCTCCTAAGTAATAAGGTTATGTCTAACTCAAATACTTAAGAGGATAAAATAATTTCACTCTTCATCAATTATATGGGGCTCCTAGGTATATTCTATCCTACTCGCAAATAGATAAAAACCTAAACCCATATTACTCAATCCTAGAGCCTACTTAAGATTTCCTTCGTCAAGGCTAACCTTAATGCTCAAACTCATATTTAATGATGGCCAAACATTAAATATATATATATTAAACCAAGATTAAGTACCCAAATTAACATCAAGCATAATTAATTAAATGAAAACAAAGTCTAATCCATAAGTAAGTTCTAAGATAAAGAAAAGAACTAGCCACACATGGCCCAAATAAAATCG